GATCTGGGGATTTCAGAAGATAGCGGTCCTTCGGTTTGGGCACTACAAAGCTAGGTGCTATGCTTTTGTATGGTGGAGTAGACTTAGATGATTGAATAGTGCACTATAATCATCATGGGCTGGTTTAAACTGAACCAACTTGATCAATAGGTGAGCTGTGACTAGTGGTTTTCTTTTTATTCCCATCCAGTTGTGAACATAAAAGGTGATTGATCTTTCCACATTATTTCTTATTTTTCTTTTAAAAGGTGATTTTTCATTCTCTCCCTTATCGTTTTTTTTTTTAAATTTCCTTCCTAGTCCAACCAAATGGATTGTTTGAATTCATGAAGAACATTGCTGAACTGAGGCAACCTTAAACACAACGGTTCTGAAAAATTGGAAAGACCTTCATTTGACTAGACTTCTTATGCCAGTTTAGCATTATGTACCTTTGTTTAAGATTTAGTTTTTTTTTTTGGTTGGTTTTGAGTGTACATTATCATGAGATGACCCTTATATAAAAAGGTTTGTATGAAAATCTGTAACTAGGTACATTACATATCTATTGAACATATCTCCTGCTCTTTATAAGGGTTCCAGTGGTATGAACATTCACTTATCGGGTAATCACACCCACTGTTTGCCTCTGGCCACAATTATCAACCTAATATTATCCATCTATGCTACCTATTATTCCAAGTATGTAGTAGTCATCAAAATGCTAACTGCCACTGAAGCAAGGAAACTCTTATTTTGCTGCTGTCCAAACTCTCTATTTGTTCTGCATCAATGTTATCTGCCTGTCTAACATGAGTCTTACCAGGAAAAGACACCTATTTAAAATGAGTGTTATGATTTAGCATTCTACTGCATCTATCTCTTATGTTTATTATTTTGAAAATGCTCCACTTTTCCTGTTTTACAACTTTACTTTCTCCCATCATTTTCTTTACTGTCTTCAGCTCTTTACATATAAGACTCAAATCAGTTTGCCAATGATGTCTACCCATATATTTTTAGATTGTGGTAGTTTCATAAATAAGCAACTTCGCCCTTGTGCTTTTTAAGCTCTTAGTTCTTCTCCTTTACAGGATTGAACCTTAAACTTTTTATAGAAAGTTTTATTCCCATCTTTTTCTTTTTTTTGTACTGATTTTTTTCAGAATACTCTTTTTGTGTTTTCATCTTTTAATTATTTTTTTCTCCATTTCACTCTCTTTGTTTGTTCGTGCATTTTAGTTTCTCCCCTTATCTTTGATTTCTTTGGTTTCTACTAAATGATTCCTGTTCTAGGTTGGCTACCCTCTGGTGACTCTTCTTCTCTGTCTCGGTGATCCTCAAATATTCCACCACAACTTAAGTTCTCATATGGAGCAATTATACAAACTTCTAAGAGTAAGTTCAACTCTCTTATCCTAACAAAAAAGGATTCACTGAATTGCTTGTCTGCCTCACGCATGGCCCAATCCTACTTTTCCACTCTTCCATTTTCAAAGGGAAATAACTACACCGTCATGTATTGCATTTGTTGGCTGAGAGCATCTGGTTTTATTCTTCAGGACAAGAACCATCGTTTTATGGCCTTGGACTGCCTTCATCGAGTTCTAAGGTTTTACTTGAGTGTTCATGCTGCTAACCAGCCACCAAATCGTATATGGGATTACTTAGACAGCGTGACCTCTCAACTCCTAACTGTTCTGAGGAAAGGGCTGCTAACTCAGGACGTTCAGCATGATAAACTTGTTGAATTTTGTGTGACTATAGCAGAACATAACCTTGACTTTGCCATGAATCATATGATATTGGAATTATTGAAGCAAGATAGCCCAAGTGAAGCGAAGGTTATTGGTCTCCGTGCTTTGCTTGCCATCGTCATGTCGCCTTCAAGCCAACATGTTGGCTTGGAAATATTTAAGGGTAATTGTTTTTCATAGAACTTTTAGCCTATTGTTTTGTTTTGACTCACAAAACCTTCTTTATCTCATCTGCCCTCCTGTTTCATAAGCAGGTCATGATATTGGTCACTACATACCAAAAGTGAAGGCTGCAATTGAATCAATTTTAAGGTCTTGCCACAGGACCTATAGTCTGGCTCTTCTAACTTCCTCAAGGACCACGATAGGTAATTTCTACTCTGAAGAATAGTAGAGTTGTAGAGGCAGTACCAAGAAAAGGAACTGATTACATAGGGTCAAAAAGAGCAACAGGACTAGCTTTTATGACTTGATTCGGTTTAGCTGTTCTTACATGGATAGGATAGATATATTACATATTGTGATGAAAGAAGTTACTGTTAGTAGCCTGACTCTTTTTTCTTTCAGAAATAAAGTATAATATATTCAAAAGCACCAAAGGAGTGCAAACTCATTAACTAAAGTATTTATAAATCTAGCAAAATTCCAATTAGAGCCTAATGGAGTGTATATATTTTTCTTTATGTGATATATTATGTCCCTATCATGATTTAATTAGGTGGTGGAATATCCCATAAATCATGGAATTCCAAGATAATTAGGTTTCCTTTTATGGTGCATGAGTAAGAACATGAACGTATATAACCTCATGTAATCATTCAATAAAAAATATAATCTTTCTCCATGCCATCAAATCATTAATAAAAAGTTCAGGGTTTAGAACTAAAAATTCTTAAAACCTATTAAAATTACATTATATGCTCTTAAAAGCCATTCTATTCATCTCTTCCCAAATAGCCAAGAAGGTAGCCAAAGAGATAAGTTTTAGTCTCTTATCACCTTGGATGTCTCTCCATGCCATATCTCTTCCCATACTCAACCTGCCGCCAGCCAACTCACACCCAAGAAACTGTAGGCACCAATGCCTAAATCTGATAAGTATATGGGCACCACAAAAGAAAATTATTTCATGATTCTGCACTCTTGTATAGGTAGCTTCTATTTACTAAAACCTTGCTTAATCAACTTATCCAGCATTAAAATCCTTTCACCTACCTCTTTCCAGGTGAAAAAAGCCACTCTAGGATTTGTCTTAACCTTCCAAATCAAATTGGCTGGGAAGTCATTACGAGATATTTTCCCCCTATTCAGATGCCGATAAAATGACTTTACTTGAGAAGGTAAGGGAAGAGTTCAATTTCCAGATAAGCTCATCTCTGTGGGCTTGTGACCCTTTTTTTTTTTTCTGAAAGATGTCTCAGCAGTCTTAGATATTCATGGATCTCCTAGTCATTTAGATTCCTTACCAACTCAACTGACTACTACTCTCTCCCGTTAGAGCTAAGAACGAATATTTTAACGGCAGCATCCTCGAAGTGAAGTAGGTAAAGATACATGGAATTAATGAATCAAAAATCCCCCCACTCCCCCCTCCATCCACTCATCTCTCCAGAAGCTCACTATATCCCTCGACCCCATTCTCCATTTAACACAATCCTGAAAGTCCTCTTTCTCCATGAGCATTTTCTTCCAAGACCCACTTCATACGGAACCCTATGGGAATAATTGAATGAACCACTGCCATCTTTAGCATGTTTAGCACATAAAGCTCTACTCTAAAAACTCCCCTCTCCCTAACAAACCTCAAAAGCCACTTTCTTGAAGAGTTCTGTTGAAATCGCCCAAACCTCAACACTGTAATGGTTATTGAACCTTGTCCCAAGCCACAAGGTGAAATTTTCTTCTTTCTTCCGAATCACACCACAAGAAATTGCATTGGATTCTTTCCAGTCGTGGACATAAAAAATATATGGATATTTCCATCCTGCCAAGCGAGATTCAAAGTGGTTAGTCACTAGTCCCCTTGTTGGTGTCTCTTTGAACTTTGCCCTTAATAGAAGACCCAAATATTTAATAGGTAGTCTCCCATTTTTTCACCTTAAAATGTCAGCCAACCTCCCTCTTCTTCACAAGCCCAAGTTGCTCAAGTTCCAAATTTGACAGATTAATCTTGAGCCTCAAGACCACTTCAGAAAAGACTAATACACACATGTTTCTTGAGAAGTGCCGTACCACTTGATTCGCAGATTATAAAGTGTTATGTGGAAAAAAGAGGTGGATAGCCTCTGCCTTTCTCAAATTGTCAAGCCCTTAAACAAATCCACCTCCTTGGCTGTTGAGATGAGCTTGTTGAATGCTTCCATTACTATACTAAATCACAGCAGGGATAGAGGGATCCCCTTGTGGTAATCCCTTAAAGGCCTTAAAAGAAGGAAGATGAACCTCCATTCATTACCGCCGCGAATGATGAAGAGGTGATACAGGTCTTCATCCAACTGCTCTATTTTTCACCAAAACCCATCATGTCCATCATGTAGAACAAAGACCTCCATGCCACATGGTGATAAGTCTTTTTCATTTTCAATTTACGTTTTTTCCACCCACCCACGAACCCTCCCCCCTCCTCCCCCCATTCTAAATTGCTGTTAACAACCCCATTTACTATTGATGTTGCATTTAGGATATGTCTTCTTCAACAAAAGCATGTTGCCTCTTGCCAACAACAATGCCTGCCATTATGTTTTCTTAAAAAATGAATGACCACTTTTGCCATTGTTATTGCCAAAACTTTCGCAATAGTCTTATAACTGCACTTACCAAGTTATAGGTTTAAAATCTTTAATGTTAGAAACCTTGTCTACCTTTGGGATTAAGACAAAAAAAAGTTGAGTTCAGGCTCTTTACATAGAATTACTCGGCCAATCATTGGCATAACAACAAAATAACTAACTTGTTACCAAGTATAATGCAACTGGTATTCCAGCTCATATTGTCTGGCATGTAACTATATTCTAATGGTTATTTCCTAAGAGGAAATGATAAGAAAACTCTGCCTGTCTGGCATTCTACAACACAATTTGAAGCCTTGAATGTTGCCGTTTAAAGAAATGTTAAATATTTGGTAGCTTTTTTAGTGTTTTTTTGAATGGGTGCTAAATCACCTTTATATACTTTCTTAACCCTTTCCGAAGTCGGGCTCAGAATTGGATTTTTATTCATCTGTTATAGGGAAGCCCTCAGATATGCAGTTGCATGACGCAACTCCGGACTGAAATGGGACATGAATTGGTTGCCTAAGACTAGGATTCCGAAACATGATTGCCTGACTCTGGTTTGTTGCTAGACTGTCTGTTTTTAGCTGTACCAGACATGAAGATAGGCATGGGAAAGCAGTCAAATATTTCTAAATGCATATAAACTGATAATGTGGTGGATTAGTAGAATGATGGGTTGCACTAATCTTTTAGTGTTTGAGTATTTCCTATTTTCTTAAATTGTTTATCTAAAGATCTATTGTAGACCTATAGTTATTCATGCTGGGTGACACGTTTCTGGATTGTCATCCATAATTGATATTTTTTCACACTCCAGATGCTGTAACTAAGGAGAAGTCTCAAGGATACCTCTTTTGGTCAGTGCTAAAGTGCATACCTTACCTGATAGAGGAAGTTAGCCGAAGTGATAAGATTACAGAAATAATACCGCAGCATGGCATCAGTATTGATCCTGGTGTACGAGAAGAAGCAGTACAGGTACTGAACCGGATTGTAAGATACATTCCTCATCGTCGTTTTGCAGTTATGAGAGGAATGGCCAACTTCATTCTCAGGCTTCCTGATGAATTCCCTCTTCTCATTCAAACATCGTTAGGACGTCTTCTTGAACTCATGCGGTTCTGGAGAGCTTGTCTGATTGATGATAGACTGGAAAAGGTTGATGCTGAAGATGGAAAGCAAGTGGGGCAGGGAAATGACAGATTCAGGAAATCTTCTTTCAATCAACCAGTAGATGCAATTGAGTTTCGAGCATCAGAAATTGATGCTGTGGGGCTCATCTTCCTTAGTTCTGTGGATAACCAGATACGGCATACAGCCTTGGAGTTATTGCGCTGTGTACGTGCTTTGAGAAATGATATACGAGACCTTACAATTCGAGAACAGTCAGATCATAACATAAGAAATGAAGCTGAGCCCATATTTATAATTGATGTTCTGGAAGAACATGGGGTCAGTTTCTAAACCACATTACTAATCCTAACTTTTATTTTTTTTTATGCAGTTACTTGTAAATATGAAATTTCTTCTCCTATTCTATACTCAAATATTTTATTGTTGCAGGATGACATTGTTCAGAGTTGTTACTGGGATTCCGGCAAGCCTTTTGATTTCAGAAGAGAGTCTGATACAATTGCTCCTGATGTGACTCTTCAATCCATAATATTTGAGAGTCCTGATAAGAACAGATGGGCTCGATGTCTTAGTGAGCTTGTCAAATATGCTGCTGAGCTTTGCCCAGCATCTGTTCAGGAAGCAAAGTAAGTGTGCCCAACAAAATTGTGTTATTTTCTTATGTGTATCTTCAAATGGCACTATCTTTTCTTTTTCAAGCAATGATGCATTTTCCTCTTAACAGGTAATATAATCTCAAATTGTGGCTTACTGGCTTGAAATAAAAAATTCCAAGGGCAATTAGAAGCTTTAGGTCCTTGTGAACTTTGTATCTAATGGGTAGATGAACTGACAAAAAGAAAAATTTATTTGCCAATAATTGATACTGTAAGCTACTTTTACTTGGAGGTCTACAATTTATTTACTAAATAGTGAAGACAAGTTGCTATATCTGATTGAATAATGCTTTGTTGTTCATTGTGACTCCAATTATATGAACTTTCTTATCATGCTTTCCTGGTTAATCAATTGAGGAAAAAGAAGTGTGCATCTCAGTGAAACTCGACTTTCTTTGGCAGGGTAGAGGTTCTACAACGTCTTGCACATATTACACCTGTTGAGTTGGGTGGAAAGGCTCATCAATCACAAGACACAGAGAACAAACTGGATCAATGGCTTATGTATGCAATGTTCATATGCTCTTGTCCACCAGATGGCAGAGAAGCTGGTAGCATAGCAGCTACCAAAGAGATCTACCATCTGATTTTCCCCTCTCTGAAATCTGGGTCAGACACACATATCGTAAGTTGTTGGTAGAAGTATCTTCATGGTGTGTTAAGTTCGATATAAACATATAATGGTATATTGCTCTGTTATCCCACTCTTTGGCCAGTGATAAGGATGGTAGTAAGGTTATGTTGATTGGGCCAAATTCATATCCAAACTAGATCTGGATATTAATGAAAATTTTTCACTGTTCAATGAAACTGGTCCGTGCAAATTTATGTCCAGTTTATTGTGTCTTTCCTATCCTGGGTCTTTCCTCATTTGTTCTTCAAGTATTTTCTGCATGCTTCTGAATTTGATATCAATGGTAAACTTGTTTTATTTCCTTTATATTTAGCATGCTGCCACCATGGCTCTTGGTCATTCCCATCTGGAAGCATGTGAAATCATGTTCGGGGAGCTAGCATCTTTCATTGATGAAGTTTCTTCAGAAACAGAAGGAAAACCAAAGTGGAAGGTATTCCTCATGATCTAGTTTCTGAACATACTTGATATTGCTCAGTGGACTATGCTGATACGAACTTGAAAAGTCAAATCTTGAAGAGTATATTTATTTTCATTAATTGGTAACTTCATGACTCATGAACGGCTATGCTAGAAGGGCCAAGTTTATCTTACAAACCTGACACAATTGAGAAGGCTTGTAATCAAATTAATGGTTAAAAATTTATTGGCACTTGAGTTCTGGGTGCAAGAATTTTGTCTTATGTTTACATTGCCACTTGAGGAGGGTAGGATTAAGTTTTCTTGGCATTTGGCTACACTAGATAATAAAAGAAAATTGTATGTCTTTTTATTTCGAAAAAAAAAAGAAAGAAAACTGTATGTCAATTACTGAAATGTAAGGGAAAGAACAGATAATTTCACATAAAGAAAGTACCTGGATTAAGTTGCAAAGTTTAAGGCCCAACTTGAGTTTATTCTGTAGATTTGATTTGTTGATACTAATGTATATCTGCTGACCTTCATTCCCTGTATCAAATTTTTATGTTCCAATGTTATCTAAAAAAAAACAAATTATGTTCCATTGATGTACCTTGGCCTCTCAAACTGTAGCAACAGGAATGGGTTGGAGTAGAACTTAGATCTAAAATTTTTCTATGAAAAAATGTGGATGTTTCATTTGTATCAAACACTTCAAAAAATTGAAGAGCAAAATATTAGTAGAACTTCTCTTCGTCAATTTTGATTACATGTATGTACTCTCTGTCCAAGCTGCAACAAATTTTGGTAAAGCCCCATAATCTTGATCCTTTTCTACCAAACCTTGCCTCCCAATGCTAATTACAAACAATTCATTCCTTCAGAAAAATTTAAATAATCCATAAATGTATTTTTTAAAAAATTCTCTCTCCCTCTATCTCTCAAACTCAGTTTTCTTTGATATTTAGTGAGACTTCTTCTTACCAAAGTTAGGCAGCAGTTAGATCATCTACTTAACATTGTATGCCAATGCTATAGATGCAAAGCCAAAAAGGGCGCCGTGAAGAACTTCGCATGCACATTGCAAACATATATCGAACTGTTGCAGAAAATATCTGGCCTGGATTGCTTGGCCGCAAGCCAGTCTTCCGTCTACACTATTTGAGGTTTATTGAAGATACAACAAAGCAGATTTTAATGGCACCTCCTGATAGCTTTCAAGAAATGCAACCTCTCCGTTATGCACTTGCTTCTGTTCTAAGATCTCTTGCTCCCGAATTTGTTGAGTCAAAATCTGAGAAATTTGATCTGAGAACTAGGAAGCGACTGTTTGATCTTCTTCTTTCCTGGTGCGATGATACGGGTAGTACATGGGGGCAGGAAACTGTAAGTGATTATCGGCGTGAAGTTGAGCGGTACAAAACTTCACAGCATAATAGGTCAAAAGATTCTATAGACAAAATATCTTTTGATAAGGAACTAAGTGAACAAGTTGAGGCAATTCAATGGGCCTCCATGAATGCTATGGCATCACTTTTATATGGCCCTTGCTTTGATGACAATGCTCGAAAAATGAGTGGTCGGGTAATATCTTGGATCAACAGTTTGTTCATTGAACCTGCACCAAGGGCTCCATTTGGTTACTCTCCTGCTGATCCAAGAACTCCATCTTATTCAAAGTATACCGGAGAAGGTGGACGTGGAGTTGCTGGTCGTGATAGGCATAGAGGTGGTCATCATCGTGTTGCTTTAGCAAAATTGGCTTTGAAGAATCTTCTTCTTACGAATTTGGACCTGTTTCCTGCTTGCATTGATCAGGTAATATATGACCCCTTATTGGTATGCACTGCGTCCTTTTGTTTATGTATGTGCATGCACATCTGTGTGTTTTCTAATAGGAGGCTCTTGGACTGGCTGTAGTCTTTGGAAGTAGCCCTTGCTGTTGATCTAATACTTATTGTGAGTTGAATTCAATTTCAAATCTCTGCGCGTTATGAGTAACTTTATTAACTAATTAGTTGACCACTACATCCTTATTTCATATGCATGCACTTGAATATGGAGTTTTTGATGTTTAGATCTTATTCCAGTTATGGAATTTTGTAAAAGGTAAACGAGTGCGCAGACACAAACCATGCATGTATTTGTATCTTTATGTCTATTTTGATGCTTCATAGAGATACTAGAAGTAGATAAAGATAAGAAAATTAATATATAGGAAACTGGTGATGCCCCAGAATTTTCGACCTTAGTCAATGACTTGATGGTTATTCTCATTTTCCCCTACTTTCACTTTTTATTATTCTTCAGAACAAAAATAATAGTCTCCTTTATCATAAGAAGTCTGTTCTGCTTTTTTCTTTAATGTTTTTAAATTAATTTCAGGTACATTCATCACTGTCAATTAATCAATAAATTTGACTAACCAATTGATTTTAACATTTTGCTCAGTGCTACTACTCTGATGCTGCTATAGCTGATGGATACTTCAGTGTACTGGCTGAGGTGTACATGCGCCAAGAGATACCAAAGTGTGAAATTCAGAGGCTCTTGAGCCTGATTCTTTACAAGGTAGTTGACCCTTCTAGACAAATCCGAGATGATGCATTACAGATGCTTGAGACACTTTCAGCCCGTGAGTGGGCAGAGGATGGTATTGAGGGCTCAGGACGCTACCGAGCTGCTGTTGTGGGTAATCTTCCTGATTCCTATCAACAGTTCCAATACAAGCTCTCTTGCAAACTTGCAAAAGATCACCCTGAGTTGAGCCAGCTCCTTTGTGAAGAAATCATGCAGAGGCAACTGGATGCTGTTGATATAATTGCACAGCATCAGGTCTTGACATGCATGGCTCCATGGATTGAGAACCTCAATTTCTGGAAACTCAAGGACTCAGGCTGGAGTGAGAGATTATTAAAAAGTCTTTACTATGTCACATGGAGGCATGGTGACCAGTTCCCTGATGAAATTGAGAAACTGTGGAGCACAATTGCAAGCAAGCCTAAGAACATTAGTCCAGTTTTAGATTTCTTGATCACAAAAGGAATTGAAGACTGTGATTCAAATGCCTCGGCCGAAATAAGTGGTGCTTTTGCTACATATTTCTCTGTTGCTAAACGGGTGAGTTTATATCTAGCACGGATATGTCCACAACTTACAATTGATCATCTGGTTTACCAATTAGCACAGAGGATGCTGGAAGACAGTGTTGAACCAGTTGGAGCAGGTGCAAACAGGGGTGATTCAAATGGAAATTTGGTGTTGGAATTCTCTCAGGGCCCTGCAGTGCCCCAGGTTGCATCTGTTGTGGACAGCCAGCCACACATGTCACCCTTGCTTGTTCGGGGTTCCCTTGATGGTCCACTTAGGAATACTAGCGGCAGCCTGAGCTGGAGAACAGCAGGTGTGACAGGACGAAGTGCTTCCGGTCCCCTTAGTCCAATGCCTCCTGAGTTGAACATTGTTCCTGTAACTGCAGGCCGTTCTGGCCAGCTCCTTCCAGCCTTGGTAAACATGTCTGGGCCTTTAATGGGGGTTAGAAGTTCCACAGGAAGTTTGAGGAGCCGCCATGTATCACGGGACAGTGGAGATTACCTCATTGACACCCCAAACTCTGGTGAAGATATGTTGCATTCTGGGGTTGGCACACATGGTGTTAATGCTAAAGAACTTCAATCAGCCTTGCAAGGGCATCAGCAACATTCGCTTACTCATGCAGATATAGCCTTGATTCTTCTTGCAGAGATAGCATATGAGAATGATGAAGATTTTCGGGAACACCTGCCTCTTCTTTTTCATGTCACCTTTGTTTCAATGGATAGTTCAGAAGATATTGTGCTTGAGCACTGCCAGCACTTGCTTGTCAATCTCTTATATTCACTTGCTGGCCGGCACTTAGAGCTGTATGAGGTGGAAAACAGTGACGGAGAGAACAAGCAGCAGGTTGTCAGCCTGATAAAGTATGTCCAATCAAAGCGAGGGAGCATGATGTGGGAGAATGAGGACCCAACTCTTGTGAAGACAGAACTTCCTAGTGCAGCGCTGCTTTCTGCCCTTGTTCAGAGTATGGTTGATGCCATCTTCTTCCAGGGAGATCTCCGAGAGACTTGGGGGGCTGAAGCACTTAAATGGGCAATGGAATGCACTTCAAGACACCTTGCCTGTCGTTCACACCAGATTTACCGTGCATTGCACCCTAGTGTCACTAGTGACACATGTGTTTCACTGCTCCGCTGTCTTCATAGATGCCTAGGCAATCCAGTACCTCCTGTCTTAGGATTTGTGATGGAAATTTTATTGACGCTGCAAGTGATGGTGGAGAATATGGAGCCTGAGAAAGTGATACTATATCCCCAACTTTTTTGGGGTTGTGTTGCTATGATGCACACAGACTTTGTTCATGTCTATTGCCTGGTCCTACAGCTCTTCTCTGGTGTTATTGACCGCCTGTCGTTCCGGGATAGAACAACAGAAAATGTCCTTCTCTCCAGTATGCCTCGAGATGAACTTGATACTAATGGTGACCTTGCAGATTTCCAGAGGATGGAATCTAGAGGCTATGAGGTAACACCAGCTGGTGGGAATCTACCAAAATTTGAAGGGGTTCAACCTCTTGTGCTGAAGGGACTAATATCAACTGTTAGTCATGGTGTCTCCATTGAGGTCCTTTCACGCATTACAGTACACTCTTGTGATTCTATATTTGGGGATGCTGAGACAAGACTCCTGATGCACATTACAGGCTTACTTCCCTGGCTTTGCTTGCAGCTTAGCAAGGATACAGTGGTGGGACCTACTTCACCACTCCAACAGCAGCACCAAAAGGCTTGTTCTGTTGCCGCAAATATTGCCATCTGGTGTCGAACAAAATCACTTGATGAGTTAGCTACTGTCTTCATGGCCTACTCTCGAGGTGAGATCAAAAGCATCGATAATCTACTTGCTTGTGTCTCACCACTACTATGCAACGAATGGTTCCCCAAGCATTCAGCTTTGGCTTTTGGGCACTTGCTACGGCTGCTGGAGAAAGGACCAGTTGAGTATCAACGAGTGATATTGCTCATGCTTAAGGCACTGCTCCAGCACACTCCCATGGATGCTTCTCAAAGCCCGCACATGTATGCAATTGTGTCCCAGTTAGTTGAGAGCACTTTGTGTTGGGAGGCACTTAGCGTGCTGGAAGCCCTTCTGCAGAGCTGCAGTTCATTGACGGGGTCCTACCCTCATGATCCTGGGTCGTATGAGAATGGAACTGATGAAAAGATCCTAGCTCCTCAGACCTCATTTAAGGCTCGAAGCGGGCCCCTACAATATTCCATGGTTTCAGCTATTGCTGGAGGTACAGCACTAGCTAACCAAGGGGTCTCGACTGAGTCAGGGGTGTCATCTAGAGAGGTAGCTTTACAGAACACACGTCTGATCCTGGGGCGGGTTCTTGACAGCTGCGCACTTGGGAGGAGAAGGGATTATAGAAGGCTAGTACCTTTTGTGACCACAATTGGGAATCCATGACCGGGGTTGACATTGCTTGCTGTATTTTTGATGGAGCAATGGAGGAGAATTTGGGGCCCCTGGTTCTGTATATAGACACATGATAAATTATGGTTTTAGTTAGTAGAATCTTCCTTAGAGTTTCAGCACCCCAAGCCCTTTTCTCTCAAGTTAAATAGTTCCTCACCTTTTCTTTTTTTTTTTTGGTTTTATATTTTCATGTTTTGTAGGAACTGTCTGCTGCTCTGTCCAATTTGGTTTTCTCTCACCTCTGCAACTAAATACAATCGGGTGAATCTTATGCAGTATCTGCCAATTGTACATTCTTCGAATCCTGTTTAGGAGATTAGATTTTTATGCCTGTGAAGCATGTTACTACAATTATGTAAAGTGTAACTATACCAGCCTGTCAATTTCTATTTATAACACTTACATCAGAAACTCTCTCAAGTGACTCAACTTGCTTTTGTTTGTTTATCTGCCTTCATGATTAATTTTCTCTCGTAATTAGTTGAAAGTTTATGCATATGTATATATATTACAAATATTGATGTAATATTGTATCTTCATTAATACTTACAGGAATTGATTTAACTAATAAATTTATGGAGAAACATATAGTACATATCAACGCGGATCTATGATATACAAGACAATATCTCTGAAACTTGTGTTACTAACCGGAGTATTAACGAAAGAACCTTTTGCTGACTTTCAATTCTTTCCTTTGTGTTATGAAGAGGACTCAAATCAGATTTGATAAATGTGTTAGCCAAGACCAAATGCCTCTGCTAGTTGAACTTTGAAGTGGACAATTGGAAAAAAACAAAAAACAAAACAGAGAACCAAATAATTCAAAGAATCTCTTACTTCCAATCCTAACTTCATGGCAGTCGCGTATATATATTTTCCTTCTACAATCTAATGTATAAATCTGATCATATGAGAGAGGGAGAGGGAGAGAGAGAGAGAGATCCATGTATAGAATCTATGCATCCTAAACTTCATGCCAATTCATGCAACAGCAATACAAACCGAAGCATCCATTAATAATACAAACATAGAAGATGTGAAGACATCCTCACATTTCAACAAACTGTATACATTAAGCGGAGGGTTCATCTTATTCAACTCATTTAAACTTCCAACAAAATCTCAGTTTTTCCAATTGAGTACTAAATAAAAATTTACATCCATCCAATGCAGTCGCTGGAAAGCTTGATCATATCTTTCCCCCATTTAGGAAAATGATGCATTATCATTCGCGAGGTGATTGATTCTTCTTGAACAAGGCATAGGCATCACTATAAATGGCCACCATGTTGGAGAATACAGCAAGGACAATCATGAAAATGCATAAGATCTTGTCTCTCTTTGTTGCTATTTTGTGCCGATCCCTGAAACATCAAACAAAATCCAACCTCAAATCAAGAGTTTTCCAATCAAATTGAATGTAAAGAAGCTCATAATAAAGGTCATTAAATTAATTTCACGCCAAGATCAGAAGAATTGTCCTCCTCATAAGTATAATTTCTTAGAAACTGAGGATCGATGGGTAGAAATTCTAGTAAATGGCTCTATAATTCCAAGATCATACCTCCTCTTATTTCAGGTAAAAGCTAAGAATTTATCTCATTTAGAATTGATATTCCAAAAAGGGTTCTACTTAAATAAGCATTTCCTACTGGCATGTTGGCAAGAAAATACATTTCTCCTTTGTGCCAGCATAGATGACCTCTATTGGTGAACTTGTTATGAACACAAGATTACAGATTATTGATTTGATGAACCACAGCATGTGCTTCCACTCACGCAAACAAGTAGAGGAGCAATGTGCACAGACTGCCCAATTTCTAAATACCGCAGGGGAGTTGCTAGAGAAATAATTATGCAGCTTTTGGTTGCAAAGAATTTATTTGTAAACAGAAACAAGTCAAGGATATTTTATTTTCCTAGGCTAATCAACTACTCACCTGAGCGTAACAGCAGCAGGAAATATAAACCCAAGGCAAACTGCAGCAGTTGCACCAGTGAATTGGAAAGCATCCCAAATACTGGGTATAAAGTTTGCACCCAAAAAGATGACAGTGATGAGCCCCAAAGTCACGAACGCAAACCTCAAATTGGACACAGCTAGAGGCCTTGCTGATGGAAAGAGGAGACCATCCATGTTGAGCCGCAATGGATAGAAGACAATTGGAAACACAAGCATGAGATGGGCTGCGTAGCTAACACGAACAGCATCATTTAGCACGGAACTATAAGGAATGCCAAGATCAGTGTCAAAGTTTGCAAGCACATCATCAAGAGTTGAATCACCAAAGAGGAGGAACCCAAAAAAGCTTGTCATTATGTAAACAGATGAGCATAATGCCAATGCTGTCCGTACAACTGATTTTATTTTTATCGAGTCTTCGAGTTCATTATCTATGCTGTGAACTGCAAACAAAATGCTTAGAAAGATTAGTTTTTTTTTCTGGTCGAACCCTCTATAGTTTTTATTTGGGAAAAGAACCCTCTACTAGTTAGAGGACGTAAAAACCCTATAACTAAGCTGGCGAAGGCTGAAATTTCCAGAAAATGGTTAATCAGCTAGTGCTTGGAGATTAAACCACAATTCTCCCAAAATGTCCAACCTTTTAGTTAATTACAAAAACTTGAAAATTTGTACCATACTCAAACCCTTCTAAGTAAAAAAGTTTGTGCCAAAACACTAAACTTTCCAGAAAAGAAATAATACATGCTTCCACTTGTATAGATATTATAAAAATAGAGAACTCACGGAGATCTTTCCTCTCAAGGTTTTCAGATGCGCATAAACATCCCAGTGAATTGAAATCATTCAGAAACTCAATCCATTGAAACAAAGAGAAACAGGAGATAGGCATATCAACCTCGAATAAAACTATTGACCATTGTGCATACCATTGTAGTGGCATATATATGCAGTGACCAGAACAGGAACAACAGTGAAGAGTTTCCAGAAGGATGTCATATCAGTGACATTAGGCAGCAATCTGGGCATAGCTACAGTTCCAGTTATCAACTTCACAACTGCAATTCCCACAGTGATAACAAGAAATACAACTGCCAATGCAACTGATAAGGCAGATGTGAACCTTAAAGAATCTGCAACCATGGAAAGTACAATAGATGAACCCGTTAAAAACGTTACATGCGAGGTTAAACAACATGATCACTACCACCAAACAAACATTTTCAGTTGTCACTAAAACAAATACATGCCGATAGTCCATATGCACGAGGTAAGTCCCAACAATGTCTCTTATATGTGTTAATATGCTCTCAAATCAACAAATTTTTAAGATGTTGAGTCATACTTTAATGAGGAGAAGAACAGGATGTTCTACTTGTCTTCTTTACCAATAATTAAATTTATTACAAAAGAAGGTAGCTAAGCTTGAGTTCCCAAGAATTGCAAAGTTGTAGCCACAACTCCAACCATATTCAGCCACAAATCAATTCAAGGAATTCCTAGATGGCTAATGTGTTTAAACTTGCAGACAAATAACTAGTGCATAACCTCCAGATGTTGTTAAACAAGCAGCAAGCTATCATATCCGTAGACTATATACTAACCAATTCGCTTAAAGCATGCCAAGGGAGCGAAAATGCCAAGTGTCGTGACAAGTAGAACAAAGGACCGCCCATTCCACCAATGTTCTCCAAACCACCCTTCAAGAACACCAGCATGGTGAACTCCGCTTGAAGATGTTCCAGATAGCACATCACCTTCCATTGGAAATCATTTTAAAAATTTAGAGCTTTTAAGAGTCAATCAAACTCGGTGAATAAAAAAAGAAAATTCCCACTATGGTGATATGAAACACGGGTAAACATGAACAAATACAAAAGATAGAACTGATAGAAGCCTGTCATACCAATTATAATCATGTACACAATGAGAACACCAACGTTATTGATCAATACACTGACTTGTAGCAAGACCTTTCCCCACTTGCCAAAAGCATCGCCCATAAGACCTCCATAAGAAGCTGTTCTTCCAGCTCTGCTAAACCTAAGCAGCAACTCAATGGATGCCTCAGTCAAGAATGCCATAAATGCAATCATGACCATCCCAAGAACCAGACCAAGCACTTTCATGGTTGCAGGCAAAGCCATGATACCAGCACCCACAATTGTGGTTGACAAGTTAAAGACTGCCCCAGAAAAAGAAGCTCCATTAAACTCGTCAAATCCACCATCTTCATATTGCCTTTTGGGCAACAAGGGAGAATTCTCATTAGCATGGTGCTTGCTCTTCCTTGATTTCTTCTCCTTCTTCGGTGTAACATCTCCAATCGTCATCTTTTAATGATCACAAAATGCTCCAATGGAGATTTGATGTTTAAAAATTCGGGAATTATACAAGGCAGAATAACCTGCTAATCATAAGACTCAAAGTCAGCTTCCAAGTCAACAAAATTCTAACGAAGTTCAACTCAAAAACATTTTATACTACTCAAAAGTCCTATCTCCTACCCTTTGATTGGCGAACAACTCCAGATGAAACACACTTTTAATTCTCTAATCAAGCCTTGTGAGTCAAAAACAAGATGATTACGGATTCGATGCAGGAGGCGAGCACTTAAAAAGCAGCAACAAAGAATTAGATCGAATGAGGGAGATTCCTGGCAAAACTTCACCTGCTAATTAAGAACAGAAAAAAATCTGTACACTGATATCTTAAAACCGAAAGCAAGAAATCCCCACAAAATATTGAGACCCAGATATACAATTGCAGAAACGAGCTTCAAGGGAACCGAAAATTTCTGCAAACACAATTAATAACTTAATCTACAAACAAAAGTTGGGGTGGTCTTTTGGATTAACCAAAGAGGTAAAAACAACTCCAAGCCCAATTGATAGTTCCTGAATTTTATCCCACTAAACGAATCGATCCAGTGGGATATTGAGGTACAAACCCAAGAAAATGAAAACCAAGAAACGAAAAAGACGGAAAATCCCCAAACTTGATGCTTCACAAATCAGAATTTTGAGAGGAATCCAGGAACCAAGAGAAGGAAGTAGAGAGCAAGAGAACCACCAAAATTTGACGGACGGTCTTGTTTGATTTATATAAAAATAAGGAAGTGAGAAGACGCTATACGGAACAAAAAGGTGTAAACGTATGGGGGTACAGTTCCGGTTCTGTAGCGCACGAACAGACCAATAATAATGTTATATATATATATATATATGAGAATAGCTATGTATGTGTATGTGTATGTGTATGCCCCTGGATGTCGTCCTAGTGGAGTAGAGTTGTTCTTGAAAATTTCTTGTTTCTTTTTTAATGAAAAAGAATTGTATTAACTCAAGCAAAAGTAATCAACTAGTTTTGATTAATTAAATAAAATTAATTCATTAGTATTTTGCATTAACAAATTTAAGTGAATTTATTATTTTTTAACAAAAATAATATAATGGGTTAAAAGAAAAAATAAAAAGTAACCCAAGGAATTGATTAATATACTCTACATGAATCTTTTATGACATTTACATAATTATAATTTTAAACACAAGTTGATAAATCTCATAAAATTAGTGGCATGGGTTTTATTATTATCCTAAATAATTATAAATTGTGCATGTATAATTATTTTTTGTTCTAATAATGATTAAGTAATAATCTTAAATTAACTATTAACACAAAACAATAATTTTTCAAAGAATCATTAAACAAAGTGAAATTTCATTATTAATTAAAGAAGGAAAATTTAATATAAATCAAATTATCTTAAATTAATGAATTTTGAATAATTATTTAAC